TAAGCAAGGATGAAATATGAAAGGCATCTAGCAATATTTGTCTTTATAAAGATGAAAAAATGTCTACAAAATGAAGTCATAGAGATACGTCATAATATAAGCGTCAATGTTTTATTTGTTTATTTTTAAAAATATTCCATGAATATTAAATACAAGTTTTGCATTAAACTGTAATTTACACCAGATTGTTCCGATACAAGTATGTTTTAATATAAACAATTAATGTCAACGAAATGACGTCAGCTAAGGATGTCATGATTTGAGTGTCAATGTTTTTTTTGTGGCCCCACTATAGGGGGCGGGGGGATTTAGATTTACCCTTGTCCGTCCGTCTGTCCGTCCGTTCCCTTTTTGTGTCGCACGTAGCTCAGAAAGTAATTGACCTAGAGTCATGAAACCTTACAGAAATGTTGATCAGCATGTGAAGTTGTGCACCTGGGTATTTTCATATGGATATATTTAGTATTTTTAGAGTTATTGCCCTTGACTTAGTAAAAATTTGCAATTTTCAACTTGTGTCGCACGTAACTCAAAAAATATTTGACCTAGAGTCATGAAACCTTACTGGAATGTTGATCAGCATGTGTAGTTGTGCACCTGGGTATTTTCATGTGGATATATTTAGTATTTTTAGAGTTATTGCCCTTGAATTAGTAAAAATTTGCAATTTTCAACTTGTGTCGCACGTAACTCAAATAATATTTGACCTAGAGTCATGAAACCTTACTGGAATGTTGATCAGCATGTGTAGTTGTGCACCTGGGTATTTTCATGTGGATATATTTAGTATTTTTAGAGTTATTGCCCTTGAATTAGTAAAAATTTCCAATTTTTAACTTGTGTGGCACGTAACTAAAAAAGTTTTTGACCTAGAGTCATGAAACCTTACAGGAATGTTGCTCAGCATGTGTAGTTGTGTACCTGGGTATTTTTGTGTGGATATTTCTAGAGTTATTGCCCTTGACTTAGTAAAACTTGACAATATTTAACTTGTGTTGCACGTAACTCAAAAATTTTAGGACCTGTAGGCCTTAAAGTTTACAAGAATAATGGTCAGCATGTGTACGTATGCACCTTGTGGTTTTTATTTGTTTGGGTCGTCAGACCAAACAAATAATGGTAGCGAAAGTAGTCCGCTTTTTTGAAGCGGTTACTGCCCTTTATATGTAACACTTAGGCCGAAAAAATTAGGGGAGATCACTGCGTAAATATGGTTACATGACAGGCGGATTAATTTTCAAGCAAAATAATTCCCGAATGGTCGAAGATTTCTAATATTGTTTTATTCTTTATAGATATACATGCTTATAGTAAGCGCCATGATTATTTACACAAGTGTTAAACAACAGTTAGCGTCGCTACAAACCCTAACTTAGAATAATATGGTTTTCTTCAGGTCGTTAACATATAAATTCACCGTAGCCGAGGGGTTTTCGCGCTCGCTTAGGAAGCGAGAGGTCTCGAGTTCAAATCCCAGTTAAGGCAACTCATTTTTTTCAAATTGTTTAAGTCAAATAAACATTGGATTGAATATCAGTGTTGCAATTAGTCTTATAGCCTACTACAATTAAAACGCTGGAAAGCATTGGTGGCACTATACAAAAACAAATTGTTTTATAATCTCACAACCTTTCTGACATTCTGAGACCCAAACAAATTCAGCGCCTTCTGTGCTTTGATTTGTGGATTTATTCAGTATTGGTAGTATTTTCCCTTTACTTAATAAAAGATTTTTAGTTTTCAACTTGGGCACATGTATCCAAAATTTTTTTTACCTAGAGACATAAGATTGACAAATCGGTGGAGTGTGGGGGCACCCGTGTCCTATGGACACATTTCTAGTTTTTTTTAAATCAACCATGAATGTTAATTATAAGTTTCGCAATATACTGTAATTTGCAGCAGGTTTTTCCGATACAACTATTGTTATAGAAGTTGGTGAACAGAATGATTCTTTAAGAATTGAAATCAAATTATTTTGCCTTAATACAATGTAAATGAGTTTTGCTTGAATTTTGACAAGGTACGTATGGTCTAAATTGTGGATCCACGTGCAACTGCATGCACGGGAGTTGTAATCAGTCGACCGGAAGTTGTTATTGTTACAGCGGATACAGCGGTGCCAAGTGTGATATCCCATGCAAGGTTCGGGCGACACTCTTTTAATGTCTTTAATTAACACGTACAGAGTTTTATAATGACTTAAGAATGAATAAGACTTGAAATGGCATTGCTTGCCATAACAGAAAAGGTCCATTAGAATTAGATATAATCATATTTAATTTTCAAGTTCCATTTAACCCTTAGCTCTCTCCCTTTCGGTATCAGAAAGCTAAGGGTAAAAAGTAAAATTAAGGAGAATTGATTTTATTACAAAATATATGAAGACATATTTCTAACTATCCGTTAAATTGCATGTACATGTATACAAAAAAAAACTGTATCATGAACCATCCTTAGATAGATGTTTGTAACAAAATTTGTTAAAGCATTCATATCAATTTCATTTAAATTCTATGCGAATTTTTATAAAAATAGCAGAAAATGTTTTTTACAACATTTTTTGTTGTTATGATTCCATGTAATTAATATTATCATGATTATTGCGTTCTCTTTCTTTCAGAATAACTCTTTTGGGCCTGGATGCAAGTTTGCCTGCCCAGATTGTGGTCCACAGTCACTGCCTGCATGCGATGTTGGGACGGGTGTTTGCATGTGCAGACCTGGTTACACGGGTTCGAAATGTGAAAGACCATGTCCTGATGGAACATTTGGATTAAATTGCTCAAAAACGTGCAGGTAGTTTTCTTATAAATATTTCAATTATTATTATTTCATTATTTTAAATGCATGACAAAAAATATTAGTCGCAAGCACTGAATTTACTTTTGCGATGCATATGGTGATTCAAGGAATGAAAAAACGCCTAAAAACTTCATTTTCATGCAATGTTGTACTATACTCGTATCCATATTTGTGAATGATATCAATCCACTTTATTTAAAAATTCACCGCTATTTAAAATCTGCCCAGATTGGCAAATGAACAGGTTTGTTTTTGAAGGTATTTAGCGTGGTAAGTGTGAATAATCTAAATGAGCCTTGTCATGACAAAACCAACATAATGGGTTTTCGACCAGCATGGATCCAGATCAGCCTGCGCATCCGCGCAGTCTGATCAGGATCCATGCTGTTCGCTATCAGTTTCTCTACTTGTTATACGGTTTGTCAGCGAACAGCATGGATCCTGATCAGACTGCGCGGATGCGCAGACTGGTCTGGATCCATGCTGGTCGCAAACGCGCTATGTTGGTTTTGTTGTGACGCGGCTCAAATGTCTTGTTTTGTAGTTGTCAGAATGGAATTTGTGATCATATAGCTGGAGCATGTGTTTGTGACGTTGGCTTTACTGGGAATAAATGTCAAACTACAGTAAGTATTTCAACTTATTTCTGATTTAAATTTTTCATTTTCCAGTTCGTATCAACAAATGTACGTTTTTACAAATTTACAAACATATCTCAGGTATTTGAACTATTTTAGTATACAACGTTTGATATAGCGTATTGACAATTACCCCCTCCCCTCTGTTTTTGATCGAATGGAACGTATAATCTCCAAGTTCATATAAAATAGACATAGTGTTCAATCTATACTACACGTTGCTGGATACAATAGACAATATCCAGCTTTGAACAATGAACAAATTGAAACATCCACAGTCGAGAATTGTGTGTGTATAGCTTTTTCTATTTTCGCTTTTAATGTTAATTGTCTTATAATAGGAAAAGGATGTGTGTTTTTTCATGTATGCAAATTACGTCTTATTTTAGGAATACAGACATAAAAAGCATTCCTAGATTTGGTATTTTACACCACATTCTTTACCTTATAAAAATTAAATAAGCTTCCACATGGAAAATAGAAATGGACTCCTGTCTTTTAAACACTTTTCTATGGAAAATCACGAATTTTGTCATGTAAAGACACGAATTTTGTAACTGTTCCAAAGTAACGAATCTTAACGAATAAATGCTCTTGAATCTTATATTACATAATTACTAGTGTCCATCCGGCCAGTATGGTTTAAACTGTCAAAAGACTTGCGACTGTGGTCCTCATGGAAGTGGATGTTCTCCTAAGGAAGGACTTTGTATTTGTAAACCAGGTTTTACCGGAGGTAATAGTTATAAGCAAAGAATGCAATACAATATTTGATTATCAGTGTTAAAATGATAATCATCATCAAAATGAAATGTAACTAAGTTTTCTTTTTACATTTATTCATATATTTTAGTTGTTGTTGTGTGTCTTTTGTTCTCATGCAGTTTTAATACTTCATTTTATTTTTATCTCTTTCAAGTCGAATACGTTTCCTTATTTGATGATGCTTTTGAAAGAAACATTTGGTTTTTTTTAAAGAAACATTTGTTTTCTTACAAATGGGCTTATTTGAACAGTTTATATATGTTTTTGTTGTCATACTGTATAACATATTATATAAATCTGATACAGTTAAATGCCGACATAGTTGTCCCGTTGGATTTTACGGACAAAACTGCACAAACAGATGCTCATGTGATCCTTATGGTAGCTCATGTAGCCCTATAGACGGTAGCTGCCTGTGCAAGTCGGGCTATACAGGGCAATACTGTGAAGAAGGTAAGCACAATGTGTGAATTGTAATAATTTGAGAATGTTTTATAGTACTGAAAAAAATATTGAAAAAGTAATTGATGCGAAAATATGGTGGAAGTCACATTTTGAAATAATTATTTTACTTACTTCTACAAAAGGAAATACTAGACGTATATTTTGATAGCTGCTTGCAAATATAATTATGATATTGTTGCGAAGGCAGCGAAAAACTGTTGTAAAATTGCAAAAGTATAGAATTATAGAGTCACTTCGGTGAATGAAAAGAAAACTATACATACTTTTAAGAAAGAGTCCAGAAGTATATTACGCTGTTGAGAAAGAATTAATTAAAAAAATGTTTATTGCAGTTAGACAATCGAAAAAAAGAATGAAATTTTCGAAGCTATGAAGAACTTTTACCTCTTACATGAAAATATTCCATCTTATAGGAACATTTATGCACACAAGTTTGTCTGTTAAGTTTGTTCTTTACATATACGGCAAGCATACAATATGTTTCATAAAAGAATATAAATTATGTGATTATAATAAATATTCTTTTCCCCGTTGAAACATAACCTTAACATTGCTAATATGACTTTGCAAGCATTTTTCACCAATGTCTGTCGGGTACATTATATATCCCAAATGACCCAAATTCTTCAGTCAATTGATCAGTATAAAATAACCTTTCTATGTGTTCTTATTTCAGTTTGTGGTCCCGGATTTTGGGGTAAAGGATGTACTCAAGCATGTGAATGTAATGGGCGTGGCTCATGTAATCCGTTTAATGGACAGTGTGATTGTATTGCTGGCTTTAAGGGAGATAGATGTGAAACACGTAAGTGTTTGATTAAACATATTTTTATGCCCAAACTAGTTAGAAAGGTATGTAGAGTTATCCTTGGGTCCCTGACGATGCAGGTAATCCTTCCTATGGCCTACCTCTGCTATTGCAAGTACAGAGGTTATCAGTTCCTCGCGAACGTATTGGTAAAATGCTTGACACTCTTCCAAGGATCGATGCGGTGGCTGAACTGTGCTCTGTTAAACTACACGTGGCTTACTGCCATGATCCGGAGTGTAAACTACCAACACTACCATTCCGCCCACTGTTTGTCCGTAGAGTGACAAAACAGTGGAATGTTTGGATGTCTTATGGAGATGTCTAATTTTGTCTCCTTGGTAAACTACATTTCTGACACAGTAGCTAAATGAAAATATGTAACGTTTGATAAATTTTTTTTATTTATACTTTATTCCGAATTAAAATAGAGAAAGAAGAATTCATGAATCGAAAACGCCTCTAGCGGGAAAACATGAAAACTGTAACAGTCGTTTTAATTTAGCCTTAGTCTTGGGCGGTAGTGGGAAATGACTACCGTCGACGCCCCCTTGCACCGTTTTAAGCAGAATTCAATATTTTTAAACATGTTAGTTTTACGGAGAAGGCATAGGCGTATCCATACTATGGTTGTATTTTATTATATTATCTGATTATAAAATCATGAAGATTCGAAAATAGTGGACGGATGCTAAATCTAAATCACATTATGTAGGAAAAAAAACGTGATTAAACGGAATTTGACGTATTTCAACGGAAATTAACGATGCAATAGTTCAAATATACTGTCCTTTATATTATTTTTTTTGTTGGTAGAATGCGCTCAAGATATTTTCTGGGGAAAGAATTGTGCCAATGCTTGCTCGTGTAATGGGGAACATTGTGACCATAGAGACGGCACGTGCAGGTGTCCTCCCGGGAAAATAGGTCACCACTGTGAGAAAGGCAAGTTATTATATTTACATAATTCAAAATGATATAACTTATGCACGTGCTTTCTTTTTTTTTCAGAGTTTTAAGAAAACTGAAGTATATTATTACTGTTTGAAAAGGGTAAAATAAATAAAAATCGTGTAATCATTTATAATTTGTTTCTCATTAAAATACGACATACGGAGGGAAAAACAGACACAGTGATAATCTTAATAAATTTATATACATTTTTTTTGTTTCGTTTTCGTTACAGTACAATTTTAAAGAATAATGCCATATTATCTTAGTTATCTTTTATATCTAGGGTGTAACACAGGCTACTTCGGATTCCAGTGTGCTCAAGTGTGTGGCTGTAAACACAACTCAAAGTGCGATCCTGTTACAGGGTCGTGTCGGTGTCAGCCAGGCTGGTCCGGACAGTTCTGTGATAAAGGTACAACTAAACTTATTTCTTCACAACATGTTTCTTAACCTGCTATCAAAGTAGGTTCGGTTTCAATAGATTCATAGCAGATAACTGAATAAGTAATATAAGCTTTGAAGTGGCTTTTTTGTTGTTGTTATTTTGGCTTTCATTTGAAGGTACAAGTAATCCCGAGACATAAGAGGTCTCAAATCAAGTTCTATGCTCTTTGTTTCAGATAAGTAGACAAGGTCGGTAACCAATGACTGGTTAAGAAACACATTTAGTTAACAAGCCACCTAGCCCCGTTAGATTAATAGATTTAGGAATAATGCCTAGTGGACTGGTTACATTTATAGAAAAGCATGCTCGCAACTGCTCCCACTAGCTTCGTTATAATGTAATAAATGTAATACTTGCAAGAAATTTTCATCTACCATACGTTTTGAAAACGTTGTGACTTCAATGAGTCAAGGTCGTTTATCAAGATTGTTAACCTACTTATCTGTTATTTTCTCATCTTAACGAAATTCTATGAAAAATGGACCAATCCTGTTATTGTGTTAAAGCACATGTACTTTTAACAACAGAAACTTCTTTTGTTCATTTAAGCATGTCCGGATGGTTTCTACGGCGTTGATTGCGCGGGAATTTGTCCGGATTGTTGGAATGACGGGTCATGTGACACGTTTGCTGGTACTTGTATATGTACTTCCGGTTATACAGGTCAGTATTGTAATACCTCGTTAATTACCGGAAACCAGCAGCAACCAGAATCTCAGCCTCAAACAAACACAGGTAAGAAAGGAAGCAGATTAATAATAACTCTACCTTTTGTATAAACAGCTTTCATCTTTTTTACAATCATATCAAACAGTATTGGTGGTACTTTCTTATACAATATAACGTTAATAATAACTTTCATTCACATTGGTGCTATATGGAAAGAAATATTGTAAGTCATTCTCGAATCAATGATTATTGATTGACCGAGCATGACCTCTTTAAGTTGCCCTTTTGAAGTATTGGGAAATTGAAAATTCTTGGATATTTAGCTTTGCTGTTCTAACCGTAAAAAGACAAATATTAAGAGCTTTAAGTAAAAATGCAAGCACTTTGATTCAATTTGGTTAGTTTACCATGATCCCTAAATATAAATACTGATAAAGACATGTTATCTTTTACTGATTTAGGATAAGCCAACGTGCATAATTATCTGAAATATCCTTCTTGTTCATGCTTTATTATTTTCCTAAATATTTTTTTTTTAAAAAGCGTGAGACGTCAATAATTGTTTTTATAACAACATGAATTGTAGATCCATACTTCGACATTTTGTTTGAATAACAATACATTTTAAAAACAAACATTGAAATGTGCTTTTTTTGATAACAAATACTTTGTGGGTGATTTTTTTATTGTAATCCACTGATGTGATAATTTTAATTAGACACATTAGGGTCATATAGAAATCTGTGCATTATCTTAAAAACCAGCATAAAGTAAATTTTATTAAGAACTATGCTATAAATAAACACTTTATATGGTACTACATTGCATATTTTTAAGAAATAATCTATCATAATCATATAAATTACAATATGATGCAAATTTACATTGAATTGATGCTGTACATCTTATAATATACCTTGAGAAGGTCTTTTAATTTTATTTATTATTCTATTGACACAGTATCAACAGCAGGTGTACAGTTTACAGTTTCACAATTTGTTGGTTTCATCGTCGGCTTTCTCCTCCTTCTCGTCTTTGTTACTGTAATGGCCGTTTTACTCACGCGGAGATGTTCTGCAGGACGTTTTGGAGGGACCGAAGGGGTTGTTAAATTTAGAGGCGAAGAAGTAAATGTATAATTTATATCAAAATAACTATTTTCAATGTATTTTAAAGAGAACTTACTAACATTACATATACACGTACACATTTACACAACATACTGATATTAGGATATAGGTCAATCCAATTAGAAGCGGCAGCCATCTTGGACGCAATCTTGGATTTCTTTGCCGGAACCAACTTTTTGATTTGCATAATCATATACACTGAGCAGTACTGAATATTTTGATACTTTAAACCTTTATTATATTGTTGTGTCCACTTAACCTTAGAAAAAAGCTACTTTTTAGCCAACAGTCACCTTACTAAAATGTTGAAGTAGTTCGTTTATGTATCGCCAAACATCATCTCGCTTGGTTCTTTCAAACTTTTGTAGTTGGCTATTGTTAACTTACTATTCATCATGTTTTCAGTTAGACATAGCTACAGCTTCTGCTGAAAATAGTGGGGTAACAAATGTGGGATTTGTAAATCCCGTCCATGAAGCTAGCTTCAATGAAACTGAACTGGACAGCAAAAGTGTGACGTCAGACGCCACGAGCGGCGTTGCATCAGCGATGGTAGATTCTGACGATGAAGATGACGGATTTTTCAAGGACAGTAAAGCCTAATTAATGATAATTAATTTACGATAAGATGGATGTGATGAATTTAGGCTTTAAGTGGTTCAGTTACGTTTTCCAAACTTACATAAAAATTGATTCTCGTATATCAATATTATTATGTTAATAAAAGATCACCAATATTAGTGTCAAAAGTATCTACAATTGAAGTACTAACATATTTATTTTCTTTGACAGAATAAGTAAGTTATTAATATACTTTTAGTATTTATGCGTTTATTCAATAGCACAAAATTAGAAATTTAAAGGGACTACACAATTTAATTTGCTACTATATGAAATTTACGTCTTGTAATAATATTTTGGTAGATGGGGGTTTATGTTTCTGTGTATATCACATATGGAATTCAAATGACAATTCATAGTGATATTTGTACGGTGGCACATTTGTGCGTTTTTATTGATCTCGTGCCCACGAGATTTTATGTCATAGCCACGAGTTACTACGTGCACACGACTTACTTAGTCGTGAGAACGATAATTATGTCGTGTGCATGTAATAACTCGTGCGCACGAGATTAATAAAACGCACAAATGTCACCATTGTGCCACCGTATATTTTTGTATATAATGACATTATTTCTTTTTTATCATGAAATATTAAGTCGTTTGTTTTAAAAATTCTGTGGTGCATATATAATACTCACATTCAAACATTATGTTTATAGTTATGGATATAGTACTCGACTCATTGCTCAATAAAATGCCAAAATCTGCTAAATGAATGTTTGTTCTTTGATTTGTAAAGCTACGACTTCTGAGAAAAGTTCCACAGAAACCAAATAATAAATCACTCCAAATGCTTTAAAACTGTGCAGCGTAAAACTCTAAGTTATAACTAATCATTTCACCGACAAACAATTGTCAATTGGAATCAATTGAGTGATAGTGTTGCGATCTGTTGTTCAGATCAGCCGTATTCCATTTTGACTAACTCGTCTCTCCCGTTGCTTATATGCAGAATGGCCCTGCAACGTACCATCCAGATCCAGATCCAAACTTGCCACTTAACTTCTCACCATTGCCGCTAAATGTCACATAATCTTTTGCCGCTTAATGTCGCAATGGTAACATTAAAAGTCGCACGATCGCTATTTTCCCTTGCCGCATCACTTTGATATTCTTACAAAATATTTCTTAAACAAAAAAGATGTTAATCTAGTTCTACATGATATTTATATGATGAATTACTAACATATTATCCAAGAACATTTCACTATCAACATATACGTCTTTCATGGTTTGCTATCATATACTTATTAAATATTTAGAGCATTGCATAATTTCTGTGATAATCCAATACACTTAAAATGTATTTAGTTTACAATTAAAATTTAAAAAACATTGATTAAAGTATGGAATGCAACTACGCTACAAGTTTTGTGCATAAAAATGCTTATGTTTTAAACATTATTATGACTTTGCGAATTTTTGCATATTCTTGTCCCTCGCCGCTGTGGGTTAGAATCCCGCCAAGGTCATGGGATTATTTCATATGAGGAAGTTATCGTTTGTTTGTTTGTTTCATTTTACGCCTTTTTCAGTCAAATAGGCGGGTAGTTTCCTAATCATCGTTCCTGGAGAGTTAAACCAGTACTAGACTACCTCCTACGCGCTAAACTACTAGAGCATCGCCCGGGGATCGGACCCATGCCAGAGAGGTAACTGGATTAGAAGTAGTCGACTCTAACCCCTCGACCACGGAGGCGGTCAGGAAGCTATCGAGCTAGTTTACGGAACGTCGGTTGTTCTACTCAATTACCGTTAGTACACGGAGATATTCTGAAAAATCGCCGTATGACCTTACTGTGTTAGTGTGACGTGTTAATGTCTAAAAATTAATTAGGAATTTGCATATCCTAATTAAAAGATGGAAGCTTTAAAAACTTATTTGGAGAAATAAAATTCTTATTTGTTCTTTGTTTAGAGTACTTAGTTCAAATAAGGATTATATATTATATTTAGTTTTTTTAAAGCTCCTCCGAATTAAGATTTTATTTCTCAACTCCTAATAATGTTTTAATTTTCCTAATAAGGGTTCTAACACTTCTTATAAAGAATAACAAAGTTGTTGTTATTAAGTTTATTTCTTCTAATTATGAGTGGAAATTCCTATTTAGTTACAACTTGTAGTAATATATTGTATCTACTAGTTTAAAGCCTCAAATTGTGGATAAAGATACAATTCTTACAACGGCAGCATTTTCACTTCGGACGGCTATACCATTCTCAAAAAGAAGACAGACTGGGTTTATATTTTGCATACGTGTTGCATCAATGAAATTTGTAAAACTGTAATCTGATTGTGGCAAAATAATGACACATATAGTACAAGTGCAACATTTCACTTCGTTGCGACATATAACGGCGCTACAATCAGATTTGCGAGTAGTTTGATGTTCTTACTCGTTTGTATTATGGGCAAAAATAAAAAAAAACACGTTCCCTGTCGTTACAATATTTAACCCTAGAAAAAGGTAACCAATGCACGAGCATCTGAATATGATCTATCTATCTTTATCTGTTTCCCTTGTGTCACAATTAGTAAACCCCAGAAAAAATGAGCCAATGAGCCAATCAACGAGCTCGCTGTAAAAAGACAGTAAGTGGAGGGTAACTAATTCCTGCACCCAAGTTAACACACTGTGTATGTATTGATTTACGATTTAACTCTAACCTATTTCCAAACAATAATTCAATGTAATGTAAGAGGACTTGCTCGTAAGGGCATTAAACATTACCAGTATCATTCGAAATCTGCAATTTTCACTTACTGATTTTGTTTATATTGCACTCTAGTGATTCGTAACAGACCAAATTTTATTGCTTTAATCGTATAAAACAGTATGATCAAATACAATTTAATAACACATATTATAGCAATACCATATCCCCCTTGGCAAACTAGAATTATATAGTTTTAATCAAATAATAATAAAAATATAGACAGGTTTGTATACAAAATGTATGAAAAATGTTCATATCCGAACATTCAATACAAAAACTATTGAGTCATGCTATAACGTTAAGAATTAATGGTATACTAGTTTTTCATTTGCCAGCAATTACCAACGATATTTATCATCTTTACTGACCATAAAGTCGTTCATGCGGACATTTATGCATAATAAACGCAATAGTTTTGTGTCTGCTTCTTTCTTTATGCTATGATTGTTTTAAATGAAGGAAATTGAGAAATTAACGACGGTATCAGCTTCTTTTCCAGAAAAAAATCTGACAGGATTTATTATTTATTCATTTCATATTTCCTACAGAATATTAAAAGCAGAAACTAAAGCGTAGACAATCAGATATTTTTCTCAATGTATAGCAGTTTCATCGAGTTTCCCTAATCACAGCATTGAACAAAATGTAAATAATGAAACCGAGGGCTGTGAGGTGTCCTTTGCTTTTGTAGATTAGAACTTAACAAAAGTAACTCCATATGGTTAAGTTATTTTTCCAAATGGTACTACAATAAATTAAATCTACAAAAGAGAAACAGAAAACAGTCAAAACATAATTTATGACCATATAAATCCGAAAACTGTTCATTCACGTCAAAAACATCAATCAAATAGATGCGTAACATATCATTTTAGAAACTGATCATTATTCAGAGGTTAATGTCGTTGGTTTCAAGCATTTTCCCCGCATCGCTAAGGCTTCAGATCCCATCAGGAACATAGGGACATTGGATCATTGTTTTCATATCACAAAGCTATGCAGTGGGGAACATCGATCGTCTTCACAATAAATTCGAAACCAATGACGTCAGTCGAAACGATGTGTCATATTGTAGATGAACACTACTTACTTGTATAGTAGTGAAAACGGTTCAATTATCTCACAATTACTTAACATATAAATAAATAATAAATCACACAGAATATATTTGAAATTATTCCTTGTATGTATTTATTGTTCACGATATGCTTAGTATTTTAATTGTAAATAGAATAATAAAAGGAATTCCTACATAGAAAACACCAAACACAAAGAGAAAAAGAAAACAACAACAACAACAACAAAAACGACAAAAAAACTACAACAAACAAACAAAACGGACAAAATGAAAATGTTGCAGCCTTGGTTTAATAGAAGTTCGTTTGTAAACGGGAATGGTTAGTGCAAAATTACACATGAATGCAAAACAATCAGTTAATATCCAGCAGAATAAATAATTTGGTTGAAATAATGTATGAATATTATATTTCGAGCTTCATTGTTTCTATTTGGTGTGCTCTTATTCCTGTAAGCCGTTAACCAATCTCCAGACTTGAAATAGAAAACCTAACAAATTCTTAAAAATACATAAAAAAACAACAACTCAAATAAACAACAATTTGAAAACAAAACAAGAGAATTGATATAAAGATAAAAAGACAAAACAAGCGGTACAATATGAATAAGGGAAATTGAAATGCGAAGAAAATACAAATAAAGTCAGAAATTGTCTTTACAGTACCGTCTGTGAGCAGGCTCAATCCAACCGAGCCTGCAACATTTTCAATTTTGCCGGTTTGGACTTTCTTTAGGGACTCGTATTTTCTCTATTTTCTCAAAACAACATGAGCGATCAAAACAATGACATTCCTTTCTGACTACAGGTTTCTTCAGACTTTGAATAATCAGTGTAAGGGTATTTATATGGGATTTAAATTATGCGTAATGTCCCAAATGATTTTCAAGCGAATATTTTAGTTTCAAAGAAGTGTCATCGTAAAGTTTTATATATAGATATGAGTATAAAAATGATTGCTTTGAAATTTATTTATTCAAAGGCACTGGTAATTGCAAAAATAACATTTACCATTTAACGAATTGGAAATATATCAGAAACTACTTCGTTTTCAAACGTTTGGATTTAATTAAAGCTGCGAGCGACAAAATAAAATTTAATCACTTTCAGTTTTAAGATCATTATTTAATATTTCATCCAATCGTTAAGACGACTCCAAAACCGTTTTGTATCATTACAAAGTTGCTCAGAGCGCTGATTTCAGATGATTTGTTTCTTCCCGGAATGAAATCATCAAAACTTCATTAAAGCCGTGGATATAAATTGAATTAAGTCGTAAAATTATAATAACGCAATTAAAGTAATAATTTAAAGTCACAATATAAACAACAAATCCGAATTAAAAGTGTGACATCCTTATATCCTCATAGCTTTGACTTAACAAATTCTAGCATAAAAAAGAAAGCGTTTAAAGTTTACCGCAAGCACATTTCCTTCTTGTTTGTAAACCTTTAAAATGTTAAGCTGCACGCCTCCAGATTCATGCCTTTTTTAATAAATGCTTTTAAAATGAATAAATAAATAAAATATTATTATATGAACAAAGAAAGTAATTTATAAATTGCAAAACGTCATTTCTACGAAGACTACAAACAATAGATCATTACCTCATCCTGGTTAATCACGTAGTAGAAATGTGGAGATAAATACTGCAAAATCAGTATTTTGTTGCATACAACATGTTTATTTGTTTTTGAATTGTGAGTACTTTTACTTTTGTACATTCTCAATGATGATTTTCCTCATCTGGAGGTATATATCCATAATGATATGCTTACCCTAAGTAAACGTTACAACTTCAAATAAAAACTCCTGCATTACGGTCCAACGTGAGAAATTGAAAATTAGTAATAACAATATATGTTGTATGAGCATAGTGTTTCTACCCATTGTTAAATGCACGA